CCCAAAAGTTTTGAAAAGTTACAATTTAGTCTGAAAAACAAATACATTTTAAATTTTCATTTTTTAAATTGAAAAATTGGGGTATGACAAATAAATTACCAAAAATAGCCCTTTGGGGTAAAATTATGAAAATGTCCTTGTACTGCAAGAGATCAAGACTTCCCCTAATGGTAAAAGATAACCCAAAAAAGACATACTTGACCAATTATCAGAAAAAATGCATATGTTTGGAATGAAAGGAATTACCGAAATGTCCTCAAGTTACGAAATAACTAAAATAACCTCTAATAATCAAATGAACAAAATACTCTGAACTCTAAAAGAACTATAATACTTTCAAGCCTAATTTATCAGAAGTAATGCCACTGACAGAATACGCTTAAAATGTAAAAAGGACCATGGATGGTTATGATAATGGAGATGACCTGAGAACTCAAATTTTGATTCGCTTGAACCTTGGAATCACTCCTGTCATACTTGAAATCTTAAGTAACTCTGATGCACAAGATTCTGAATGCCTTCCTAATACTCAATTGCCAACGAAAAATATCTAAATATTGTATGATCTTGATAAATCACTTCTCGAATTAATGATGAATCAATTAGCTATCAAACTCACCTTTTATAGGGATCTTGATTATGAAATCCTATTAAATTTCAAAAGTTTCATGATCCCCTACCTAATAAATACCAAGTATCTCTGAATAATATCTTGATCCTCTAGCGAGTTCCTTATATGACATGTAAATGTTTTACTTGTTTTAAAACATGATTTTTCGAAATCACTGATTTACTGACGTACTGGTTTATAAGCTAGGGTTACCTGAAATATGTCCTCTAGTTACCTGTTTCACTGTAAAATATGATCATTCTTGATTTATGGATCATGGAATCTATTGGTTACTACTTGAACTGTCTTATTGGGACATTATATGGGTAGAATACTGGAGTGTGGAGGTTCAACTCGGACAAACTGATAATTCCTCATATAGGTTCAGACCGATCGAACTGGTAATTCCTTACGGACCTAAGGTGACCCTTGGGTAGGCTCCGAGGCCCCAAGAAACTTTCTTGGGTAGGCTCTCAGGCCCCAAAACACTCCCTTGGGTAAATCATAGAACCGCATATGGTGTATGGGTAGAGGGTATTTATGTGATTTAAATAATTACATGATCATTTTTACAATATACTTCTAGATCGTGATTTTGATATTAAAGTTATTGCTCACTTTGATTTCTACTAGGTACTGTATGGGTAGGCTGGAGTATGCAGATTCAGCTCGGTCAAACTGGTAATTCCTTATATAAGTTCAAACCGATCGAGTTGGTAATTCCTTACGGACCTAAGGTGACCCTTGGGTAGGCTCCGAGGCCCCGAGAAACTTTCTTGGGTAGGTTCTCAGGCCTTAAGGCACTCCTTTATGGTGGCTCCTTTGTTGTGTACTTAGGGTAAGTCCTTATGGATGCAGTTATGGGGAAACTCCATAAAGGTGTTCGGTTAGGGGGTTTTACTTTAAAAATGTTTAAAAATGTTACTATTTAAAAAGATATGTACCCTTTTCACTAGCTTTTGATTGAAACATACTAGACATCCTATTTCGATCTCCTGAAAACTTGTTCCTATGAATGTTTCGTATGACCTAACATCTTCATGGCTTTTACTCTAAGAAATATCAGTGGAACATCATCTCATTACGAAAAACTGTAAACGCCTAAATAGATAATGAAATTTTTATGTTTGTTTATTATTTGCATGTCATTCATCATCTCTTGGTAGTTCTGTATTATTGTGCTTCCCAATGCTCAATCTTTTACTCACCATTTCAGGTTAAAAGAATCAAACCAATACAGCTATCGACATTAGTAAAAGAGTTCCGCTAGTGTTGCTTGCGGATTACGGTGCATGTGATTAGTGGGTATGTAAGTTGTATTCTGTTTTTATATCTGAGTCTGAAATATGTTTTATTTTTTAATATTGTTAAATTCTATTTTTAATATATAAATTGTTTTACTATATTATGCGCTTTAACAGAAATTTTAATTTTTTGGGATTTGTTTTACGGTGAATCGCTCCGGTGACCCTAATGTGACACCTCAGATCGGGTCACCCGCACCGGTCTGTGGGTGTTGCACTAAAAATTTATCCTGATTACAAGAATTATGAGATTTATCACGTCCAAAAAAGTCAATCTTTATCGCAAATGAGATTGAACGTAACCAACTGTAGCTGTAAAATGAGTATGATATTAGAGTTTCACATTCTATTCTTGTTTAACTTCATTAAATTACTTCATAATGACAACTTCAACATGTTATTTCTGATTCATTAGAGTTTCACATTTTCTCAAAGCTAGGAGCACTATTAAGAACTCTAAAATGAAATTGCAATCTACTCATCTTTCCATTCTTAAATCCATCAACAACAAATATGTCACATCCTCTAGTTTGCTTTAAATTCAGGTCTCATAAAATTACAATATAAACGAATTTAGATACATTATATTCTAATAAACTTTTATGCTCTTCAAATAATTTAAGATTGAAACTTCATAATTTATCATTATATGTCTTAAGAAACATGTACTCTTTTGGTTGGCAATGACCTTTCAACAAATAAATCATTCGAAGCTTTTTGTGATCATTAAGATGATATTCTATAATCTTTGATTTTTTTCGTGATCCACTTGAGGATTTTTTAAGTCACCTTCTAAAAAAATTAATCGGAAATAAATCTTTTATTATTATCTTCCTTTTAAAATATTTTTCATGCTTAACAAAAAAAATAAAGAATTAATTGAACTATTACATAAAAAAGGCAAATAGAATATAAAATGATAAAGGCGTGTTGCGTGCAATGTTATTTGTTTGAAAAAAAATCGTAAATTAACTGAGTAATAACTCTATAACGCAAATTCAATTGCAATTCACAATCATTATATACTTATATATGACATAAAATTATAATTAAATTTTACTCACTTGATTAGTTAATTACACATTTGATTTATATTATAATTAAAAATATATATTTAGTTATTTCGGATATGATTCCATAATTTTAATCTCTGTTAAAGAATAAAATCATTCCACTGTTTTTGTTTAGTATTAATATATATTTTTATTTTTTGAAATTTATTTATGAATTAATGTTATGAAATGTAGATTTAATTTAATTTATTCATAATCTAATTTAATGATTATAATATAACATTTAAACCTGATTATGTCACTGAACTAATAGATCTGGTAATATTGTAAAATTCACTAAATTAATGTCACATCTTATATCTTAATTTGGACTGGGTTATACGTTTGTATGTTACTGACAACTTATCGCACTAAGCTTGAGCTCCCATTTACTGGCAACTTATTGCACTGAACATCAGCTTTCATTTACTGGTGACTTATCGCACTGAGCTTCAATTCTCATTTACTAGAGATTTATCAAACTGAGCTTCGACTCTCATTTACTGGCGACTTACCGCATTGAGTTTCGACTCCTATTTGAAGACATAAGGATGATTTCGGATCCTGAGTGACTCCTACTGATTTGGAGTGTGGCATGGTATGGCTCGCTGAACTTACTAGCTCATATAGACATGACATTCATTCTGAATTCTTCAAAGTATTACTAAATGTTATGTCATTCTCTGATATGATATGCTATTGAATACTTTACTAGAATATTTATTTTATTTAATTGCACAGATAAATCATATTGAACTCTTTAGCTTACTCTTTTGTTATGTACCCTTTCAAACGACTCAGGACTTAGTTAGGACCGAACTCAGTATACAAAGGATCTAAGTCTCACCTTTTTCGACATACTTTACGTGAACTTTATACTAATCCCTTTCTATCGGTTTATCAAAGATGTAACATGGGCTGTTATTATGTTTTCGGGGATTTACATTCGATACTTTTGTTAAATTGTACATGTATCTCTTATATGAATATTTAAATTTAATAAAAAAAATAGATGTCCAAACTATATCTAGGTGTCTAAAGTATTTTTTCACTCAAAGTATTCATCGCGTTGAATCAAAGCATACATCCCTTTGCTTGGTACACCATTCGTACCGAAGCATTAGCCCCAAGCAAGGGAAAATAAGGCCATTTTCCATCAATTAAGCGTTCAGCCGGTGATAATTTGGACGGAGAGGAAGGGACAACATGATGGGAAAATTAGAGATTTGAGTATCATGAATTTTAGGATTTAACGGATTGGGGCGACGACAAAGACAATGGTATGTCAGGGGGTGGAAGGTGACAGGCGGGTGACCATTTGAAAGTGGCAACAGTCAGAGATGGATGGTCGATGGATTTATAATTAGGGATTTTAAGTATTCGATTTTTTTTAGATTTTAAAAAAATATTAGGACATTTTGAAAATAATATTATTTTTAAAAAGACGTGTTAGATAACAAATTTTTTAGTAACTGTGACAGACCAGGCTCTTAAAAGAATAACAGAAAAAACGTTAGACACATACTTAAGCGAAACATACTTTAAGCACCTAGAGTGAACAAAGGGTATAGTTGGACACTTACTTTTTTCATTAAGCCTAATATTTATGATAAACAAACTGAGATTTTACATGAATAACTCGACGTCTTTATAAAAGTAGAATAATTATTTAATAAAAGACCTTAAACCTTGGATTGGTTAGTTAATCATGTTTTACCAAACTAACTATATAATCTTTAATACTTCAGTAATAAATTAACTATATCTTTTAACTACCAAACTCAACGTGTTCTACAAGTAAAAACCCTAATTCTTGTTACTAGGTTTTTAATAAACTTAGGATGTTTCGAAAACTTCGTAATCCTCAAGATTTGATCATAACGCCTAAGCTGAGTCTAAAGGTTACCTATATTGACTCAAAACTTTACATGTATGATGAGTAAAATTATAAAGTAGAAAAAAGATGAATTGTAGATACTTGAATACGTAGTAAAAAGATAATTGCATATACCAGGTTATGTCTTTATGTATTCTTGTTCTTACACTGTTATTCAGATTTAAGAGTAGTTTTATAGTTCATAGCAAGTAGAATAAAAGCCCTATCAAACTATACTCCACTGACCATTAAGCCCTAGGAATGTGTATTCTACTTTTGGTTTCTGCTCCTTAAAATTTTCTTAGTTCACACAACCTACACTTTCAAGTTGCAGTTGAAGAACGCTGTTAACATACCTTTTCCAGCAGCACTCATTTTTATACGAAACTTAATCAGATATCGCTTCAACTTCTCCATCCACACAACGATATTCATTACCCCTGAAAATGTTGAAACATTCCGAACATTGAGCTACTGTTTCTACTAATCGGAACATATTATTGTGAGGAAAGAGAGAAAAATTACCTATAGCAAGCCTTAGATGAATGTATTCTATATTTCCTACCAATCTGGTGTATAGGGCCACTACTTTCAAATCTGAAAACACGAGAAAGATAAAAGTAATTGTATTTCTTAAATTGTGAATTAAAAAAAATATACACAACCACATAATCAAACCCTTCCAAGATTAACGATGTTAGCCGTTCTTGAACAGAAATCTCTCTCACCATACACATAAATGTACAAATACAAAACAGACATGTCTGTCAGATAACTCTCCCCGGCTTGACAAGATTAACACCGACTGAAAAATGGAATAAATGTTTACCAGAGCGTGGATTCAACTTTGGAGAGAGACCAAATGAGGCATATTTGCCATAGGTTTGCAACCTAAGCCATTTTGAAGCACCGAGCTTGCTTATTGCAGATCTCAGTAATTCACTGAAAAAGGAAAGACCAAAATGAGATTAGGAGTTATTAAACTCCCAATATGCTACTGAATTTAACTTACTCAGTCCGCAATATTATGAGCAAGTCGGAAGGCAGAGATTCCATAAATGAAGATATGTCCTCAATCGTTAGACCCTTCAGATCTTGTTTCAGCTTCTTTTGCTCTTCAACTAACATTCCCTTCTCGAGCACAGATTTACTGCCAATCAAATTACATAAGAGGCAATTAGATCGGGATCATAACCGTTAAAACATCATAAAGGGTCAATAAACCATCAATCTCTCTTCAGTCAACACCTCTCCAACACAAAAAAATGGAAAGATGCACCAACATCTCAGGGGGATAGCAACATACACAGAGATTTATGCTTCTAGCTGTCATAAATGAGAACTACTAAGTGAATACCGAAAAGAATTATCGTGGCATGTTGAAGTCTCAGAATTGAGAAGAGAAAATCACGCATAATTATGTACACTGATAAAAACTAGTGCTGATAGGGATTACTTAGACATGCCATTAAAGATATAGTTTATCTAGATTTGCCTTAAACTAACAATCAAACCAAAAAGTGATTCGTAGTTTTCACCTTAACAAGCAGCAATAATTAATAAAACAAAAGTTATATCTTCAATAGTTACATTAGAAATCCCTCCCGCTTCTCTCTAGAGCCCCAAGCCTAGGTGTTTTTTGAAAATATTTTACCCACCGTCATCCAGCCGTTGTCCACCACCACCGACCGCCGTCCGCTGCCGCAGTCAGCTGTCCGCCGCTACACACCGACCTCCGTTTGACCCCGTTTTTTTCCTGGGAATAACATCAGCTCACGGTGATTTCAAATCTGGACTTAGATTTGCCATAAATTCTTTCAATCGACGCAGATCTACTCGCAGTTCACTGCCGATTATCGCCGCCTCCCACCGTCCTACTCTCCAGTGAACTGTTTCGGCAAGAAAAGTCACCCGTCCAAATTTTCTCTTCTTCTCTTCCGCTGTCACAGTCTACAAACGCTGTGCCACCTGCCACCTACGGTAACCGTTGACCGACAAAACTACAAGGTTTTTGTGGGGCAGAGCTTGAGGTTTTGTTTGTTGAAGCACTTGTCTAGAACTTACAGAAGCTCTTGGGGCTGCAAAACACGTCCTCCAGTCTAGGTTTTGATTCTCAGGAGCCTACCACGAAGCCAAAACAGAGAGAGGTTTTCAAAGAAGAAAGGAGAATTGTTTGTTAAGGATGGCAGGGGAAGAACAGAACCGAATATTTGTCGGAGGATTATCATGGGAAGTCACCGAGCGACAGCTTGAGCATGTGTTTAGTCAGTTCGGAAAAATTACTGAATCTCAGATCATGGTGCAGAGAGATACAGGGCAATCTCGTGGATTTGGATTTATCTACATTTTCAGATCGTCGGTCCATGGATGAAGCTATCAAGGTGATGCATAGGCGATAATTGGGAGAACGTACAATCTCGGTGAATAAGGCTCAACCCAAGATGAGTAAAGATCTTTATCATGGCTATAGAGGAAGTTACTCATCAAGTATGCAGGTGGAGACAGTCCTGTTGCACATGATGAATGCTTCAATTGTGGGCGCTTCGGGCACTGGGCACGTTATTGTCCTCCAGCTGGTGGTGGCCGAGGTGGGAGTGGCGCCATGTTCTCTTCACGTTCAAGATTCAAAGGAACTGCCGTTGATGACCGTGGTGATCGCTTCAGAGATCGTGATCGGTACATACATGACCGTTATGATGGCAGACAACGCTTTGGTTATAGGGACCGTTTAGACAGAAGGAATGACAGATATGGGAGATGTGATCGTTTCATCAGCGATAGGTTTATAAGGAAATCCCGAATGGAATTTCCGTCGGGGAATAAGGAGACTTCTTTGGGCAACAAAAAGGCGGTTAATAAATCTAGGCCTGAAGGTATGCCTCCTTCTCAACGAGGGAATTATGGGAATGGAAATCTATCTTTAACAGAGGCATCAACAGCTCAACTACCCGAGGATGTTGTCCACGCTGGAACCAAAAAGGGATGTTCTGGTAACAAGTCTGGTGAAGAAGCAATAATTGGGAGAATTGATTTTAATAATTGGTAGAAGAAAGATCATACAAATGTTAGGAATAGGTACGAAAGTGGATGCTTCACGTTATTCATTGAAAACTTACCAAAGAAGATCCATTGGAAGAGACTTGGATCGTTATTATGTGATCACGGTCATGTAATTGATGCCTTCATTCCTAACAAAAGAAATTCCATAGGAGCTCGTTTTGGGTTCATTCGCTTCGCGACAATTGAAGAAGGAAGACGATTTCAAATATGAATGGTTCTCATATTTACGGCAACAAAATTAGGATCTCTTTAGCCAAATATAATCCTCGACAGTCTTATTGAAGAAAGTCCTTGACAGTTGTTCAACGTAAGTCTGGATTGAAAGTTGCTTCGAGGAATAATCACTGTGAAGTTCAGGGTGTTGTGGACGAAGATAAACTTCACGTGTTGAGTAACTGTTTGGTGGGTTGGTGCAAGAGATTTATCAAAATCAGTGATCTTGCTAGCCAAATTCAAGCCAAATGACTCGTTGGTTTCACGTTAATGAGAGCTGTTGGAAATGTACTTCTAATGGTTTTTGAAGACTCTGCTTCGTTGAGAGTTGTGAATAATGAAAAATTAGAGACTCTTGCACAATGGTTTTCCAGAGTTAAAGTTTGGTCAGAGAGTCTGGTGGTGGAGTGTGGTTAGTTTGCGAAGGGATTCCTTTTCACGCTTGGAATTAGGATACTTTCAAAAACATTGCAGCTAAGTGGGGCAAACTATTAGCAATCGACGACAGTTGCGAGTTTCCATCTTCTTTTTTTTTTATAAGATTTGAAGTCCTCATTAAAACCTCCCTTCTTGATTAATGGAGCTTGTATATAAGCTCCTTAATCAGCGGAAGGAGGAAAAGAGTACCTTAGAACTTCATTAAACAAAATAAGAATTACAACTGAGCAAAAACTAAGCCAAATAACCCTTACAATAACCAACAAACCCCCACCAGTTACTGGAACCAGAAAACCAAACGAAAATTGCAAACAACATTAAAAGTCATCCTATACCCGCCTTAGCTAAACCATCAACGTCTATATTTGCTATCCTTGCAACCCATCTAACAACCCCCTCAAAAATTCTAAGATTATCCACTATATCTCTAACAATAAAAGCGTACACAACTGGGCATGTATCAACATTGTTAATCCAGTCTACTGCTACCCTGCTATCATTCTCAATAATCAGCCGATCTTTAACCATCCCTTGAAAAGAGGCAAAGAAAGAAAAACCCCTTTAAATAGCTTTAAGTTCCATCAATGTCGGAGGTCCCAAACCAACAGACTCCTGAAAAGATCCTAAAACTGCACCTGAATGATCCCTTAACACACCTCCAAGACCACTTTTCTTCCGATCACTGCTAGTGGCAACATCCACATTCAATTCGATGAAGCCCATAGGAGGTGACCAAGGGATTATAGATGACTTCAGGATATTGTAGGACAAGTAAGAATCCCCTATTGAAGGATCGGAAATTAAAAAATCCTTATGAATAGAATTATCCTTATGCTTAGCTAAGAACCAAGAAGCAAAACTTAATCTTGCTAAGAAGAATAATTATGTCTGGTCAAGCTTCCCCCCTTCAAAAATAATATTATTTCTTGCTTTCCAAATGGTCCAAATAACAGCCCCAGGAAAGAATGTTCATATAGCAGAATTTTTCTTCAATCCATCCCAAGCTAGGAGAATATTTTTTGCACCTGCATGAAAAACAGAACTAAACCTCCAAAATTTCATAAATTTGTTCCATAAGGACCACGCTGCCGAACAAGTAAAAAATAAATGCGTGGAAGACTCCTCAACCAATTTACAAAGAGGACATAAACCATCATCAATGCCTTGAACTCCTCTTTTAACCAATTCGGTTTTAACAACCAGCTTTTGGAGCACAATTTGCCACACTAAAGTTTCTACTCTTGGGGGTACCAATCCCCTCAAACAATATTTTTCCAGAACTGAACCTCTTCTGAACCTGTTGCACACCTCTTAACACAAGAACTGACTATATAAACACCATCCCCACTGCCTTTCCAAATCAAACCATCACTGTAATCTTTAGACAGAGAAACAGTTGAAATGATGCTCATCATATTACACCATTGTTCAAGCTCCCAATCATTTAAATTTCTTACTTTAACATCCCAAATCCAGGCCGATGGTTGAAAATCACCGAACTCACATAGGTTGCCAGTTTTATTAGTAGAAATCAAAAACAATCTGGAAAAAAGAACCTGGAACGGATAATCCACAGCCCAACTATCTTGCCAAAATCGAATATGCTTACCATCACCAACATGAAAACTACACAAACTTCGAAACTTAGAACCAAAGGAGTCTTCTTTGAAATGGTTATTAACCACTGTTCTCCACAACCAAGAAGTTTGAGGTGAAATCCTTCTATCAAACAACAACCTTGATGAATCAATGTTGTATTTGCTACATATAAATTTCCTCCAAACAGAATTTCTCTCATTTGCAAACCTCCAAGACCATTTCCCTAGCAGTGCTCTATTCATACTATTAAGATTTTGAACTCCCAAACCTCCCTCATTCTTTGATTTACACACTTCGACCCAACTAACCCAGTGTATCTTTTTTATACCCCCCCTCCCCATAAAAAATTAGACATAATTGAATTGAGAGTCTTGAGGATTGAAGTTGGAATTTTAAACATTAACAAAAAGCACGTAAGCAGTGAGCACATAACCGAGTTGATCAAAATCAATCTCCCTGCTAAAGAAAGAGTAGTTGCCTTCCAACCTGCTAGTTTAGTGTGAAAATTCTGAACCACCAATTCCCAAATAACTGAAGAATTCTTATTAGCACCTAGTGGAAGGCCTAGATAGTTAGAGGGAAAAAATCCAACTGCACAACCAATGGAATCTGCCCAAATTTGAACCTCCTCTTGAGAAATGTTAATTCCGAACAGACTGCTTTTCTTGAGGTTTAGTTGAAGCCCTAACATAACCTCAAATACTCTAAGAACCCTCTTCACGTTCATAATCTGCATCTTCGAAGCTCCACAAAAAATAATTAGATCAACCGCAAACTGCAAGTGTGTTAAATTAAAAGATCCTTCCTCCTTGCCAATTACCATTCCAGAAAATAATCCCT